GGTCAAAACTTGAAATCTTTTTTTTTCTCTCTTTATTATTATTATTATTTTCTTTTATTCACTTTTTAAAATTTTTTCTTTTTATTTTTTCTTTACTTTTTTAAAATTAAAAAAATTTTTTTTTACTTTTTATTTTTATTTTTCATTTTTTTTCTTTATTTTTTTGTTTTGTTTTTACTTTTTCATTTTTTCCCTTATTTATTTATTTTTGTTTTATTTATTTTTTTACTTTAAAACTTAGAATCTTTAAGAGCCTTTATTAATTTATAAATCAGTAACATTGGAATTGAATATTTGAAACTGGAACTGCTCCTGAAATATTGAGGATTCAAAGTTTCTTTGGGCACAATTCTTCACAAAGGCAAACTCTTGGGGACAATCAGGATGATTGCAAAATTATGTGAAATGTAATATGTAATGAAATGAAAAAGCAGACAACTTAAAAGGTATGTCTGTATTATTAAAGTCCAAATATCTATTCTAGTTTAATTTTTTGAATATTAAAACATATGGCTGAAAAGTTTTAAAAAATATCTATGAAGGAATATAGTAAAAACGTTTTCATCCTACCTTTTCCCTCCATTTGTTGAATTTCCATTCTTTTTGCACAGACAGCCGTTGTTTTTTGTGTATTGTTTCCACACATCGAAAAACAAACACAAGTTTGCCGTCTTACTCCTCTACCCTTTGCTTTCAGCTTTTAAATTATACGTACTGTTCTGCACTTTTAAATTTTGTCACTTAACACACCTGGGAGATGTTTCTGTTATTAATACATAGAGAATTCCCTCCTTTGTGGGTTTTTTGGTTGCTGTTTTTGAGATAGTCTCGCTCTGTCACCCAGGCTAAAGTGCAGTGGTGTGATCTCTGTTTACTGTGACTTTTGCCTCCCGTGTTCAAGCAATCCTCCCACCTCAGCCTTGCAGGTAGCTGGGATCACAGTCATGTCCCAACCACACCTGGCTAATTTTTGTATTTTTTAGTAGAGACTGGGTTTTGCAGTGTTGGCCAGGCTGGTCTCAAACTCCTGGCCTCAAGTAATCTGCCTACCTCAGCTTCCGGAAGTGCTGGGATTACAGGTGTGAGCCACAACGCCTAGCCTTGTATGTTCTTTTTT